CCCAACATTGAAATAATGTTTTTCCTTTACAGGTTTTGGAAAGTGCTGGAGAAGGATTTGTTCAGTGGGTGTACCAGCATGTACGGATTTGAACTGAATTTATATCGTTAATTTTTGGGTGGGCATACAGGAAGTTGCTGTTTAGTTGTAGACGTATAGAGGCAAGGATATTCAGTAACGGAGAGGTAAAGTGATTGATTACGTAGTGACTGCAGTCACGTTAGAGCTCCGGCCAGTGGCCCTAAGCTTTGGCCATTTTTGGTAAGTTGTAAGTTATTATCAAGTGACCTTCCTGGGAAATTATTGATATTGCTAGGCGTTCAGTTTTCATTCTGTTGGACGATATCATTCCTGCTGTTTATCTCGGGTAGATTAAATGTTCACTAGAATACTGAGGAGACATCAGGACAGTAGGGTTTTCTCCCGGTCACATTCGCAGGCTGTTCGTTTTTTGCCAAGTGAGGGGCCAAGGACCTGTGTCTCTTAACTGTTACGTGCAGCGCCCCAACTGGCTTGTCTTGCGAACTCCCAAGTCTTCTATTGGTGTTCATTTTTTCCAGACAAGAAAAAGAGGCCAACCGTGCTTCAATGTCGCCTGAAACTTTACAGGTAAAATGCAGAAGTTGCCTGCGGGGATTGGAGACCTGGGAAGGAAATGGGGTGTTAGCTTGGAGGCATGGGCTTTAACTTATGGTGAGAAAAACACAGTGTATGTGGTGCAGGGTGGGTTTGGGGGTGACAGTGACAAACTAGACCAAAAGAAGAATCAGAGCCCACTGCATTGGCTGCTGGCACTGAGCATGCGCTGATGGGTGGGTGGGGCTCACACTGAGCATGTGCTGATGGGTGGGGGGAGGCTCACACTGAGCATGCGCTGATGGGTGGCTTAAAAATGCGGATAGAATGTCTTGTTTCCTGTCACCACGTTCCTGCTGTGCTCCGGGCACACAGGCTAGGATCTTCTGCTCGCTGGCCCTCATCTACTGACATTCTTTACAGAGAGCCTCTCCATTTGGTGAAGCGGAGCCCACGATTCGCCCTCTGCTGTCCCGATCCTCCTCAGATTCTACAGTTAACGGCAAACAGATGTTTGTGTTCAAGTCTTATTATATTTTCTTCCCCACACCTCTGTGGTCTCGATTGGTCGATTCACTTCTTTTAAAAATGTGTGTGTGTGTGTGTGTGTGTGTGTGTGTGTGTGTGTGTGTGTGCAGTGCGCGTGTGCTGCAGTGTCTTGGACGGCCGAGGGCATCAGATCTCTACAGAGCTGTACTTACAGGGAATTTTGAGGCAACTAACATGGGTGTTTGGAACTGAACCCAGATCCTCTAGAGCCTTAACCACTGAGCAATACTGCTCTCCCTTCTTTCTTTTTTTTTTTTTGCTCTGTCTCTGTCTCTCTCTCTGTGTATATGTGTGTATTATGTATGTGTGTGGGTGTGTATATGTGCCTATATGTATGAGTGCATATATATATATGTGTGTGTGTGTATATATATATATATAGTGTTTGTGTACATGTGTATATGTGTAAATGTGTATGTGTGATGTGTAATTGTATGCATATCGATGCATATGTATATATATGAAAATGTATGTATGTATGTATGTATATGTGTACATCTGTGGGCATGTATATATGATGTGCATGTGTGTATAAGCGTATATGTATATGAGTCAATGGTTGTGAATGTATTTCACTTGTGTGTGTATGAACGTATGTGTGTGAATGTGTGTGTTAATGTGCGTGTGTGTGCCCTAGCACACGTGTTGGAGACTTGGGTCCCTCTGGTTTCACACTTCCTTTCTTTGATAGATCGGGCCTTGCTTTTATTCCCAGAAGCTAGAATTATGGCTGACAGTTGAGGTTTTCTTCCTCTTGATTTTTAAAATGTGCGTCGTTCATATAACTATTAAATTGATTCAATTCATGCACAGGAGTGAGGGGAGGTGAGAATTTCTTTTCTTCGCATGCTCTGCATACTGGTAATGAACCAAGCCACAGCTGCTTCTCTTTCACGAAGAATTAAATTTAGCTGTGTTAGGCAGTAGACGAAGGTGCAGTTTTAAATACAGAGTTTGAAATAAACAAAAGGCTCCCAAGTATCACAGTGAGTTTTTTTCCTTATGGAAAGTGGTCGCCATCCTTAAAAAACAAGTCCAAGGGAAATTAGAATCAATAATTGTGGTGAGCACACGGAGCCAGCAAACACGCTTAACTGAAACCGTCTGATGCAATACTTTCTTTAAGAAATACAATTAGGCCTTTGTATTTTTTTTTTTTTTAACAAAACCTCATGTTTTACAACATTTGCTGGCTCTGTAATAAAATCTATTTAAAACAGAGAGACATGGTCAGCTTTATTGAGTTAGATTTTTCTGGGAGAACATTATAATTTCCTCAGTCTATGAATAGTTGAAGCAAATTAAATAAAGCCAGTTTTATAACTATTTTTATACATTCCTGTAGGATGGCAATTTTCTCATATTTTTTCCCCCTCAAAAGTCTAATATGTTACCTTTTAAATCTGGAAAAATAAAACCAGAGAAAGGAAAAGTATCTTATTTAAATAAAACAAAACAACAACAACAAAAATGAATCCTAACCTATTTGGTCTGAATTTATCTATCTCATCAACCTACTGCCTTTCTGCAGAAGGCTAGCACCCATGACATTCAGACCAAGAGCCAAAGCTTGGATTGACTTGCCTCGGGCATCATGCTGAGCTTAAAAGGTAGGACTTTGATATACACACATATCCATTTGGCCAAATGACTGGTTTTGCTTGACTTTCAAATAGCCCCCCTAAATATAACTTTAGATGTAAAGCAATCAATGTGTTTCTCTTGCCGTTTCTGGATGCTTGCACACAAACAGATATAATAAAAACAACCACTTAGCTTCATGTGAACTCCATATATATATATGTACATATATATATATATACATATATATATGTATATAATTTTCTGATTATGAGCAGGCCATTTGAACCAAGGTGAGTACATTAAAAGCTGTAATAAAGGGGAGAAGAAGTTTCGAGACGGAGTAATGGACTGTTAAGCGGGCATGCAATAAATAACATCCACAGATGTGGTCACTTGCAAATTAGTTTTGCATAGCTTACTTTCTGCCTTTCCCCCAGATGTTATCTGTTACACGGGAATTACCTGAAGCTGGCTGTATTGTTCTTTGTGTGCTCGTTACATTTGCGTTATTTAAGACGGCTTGTAATCTGTGCTTAACTCGACTTGTGCTATGGTATTTAAGGGATATCAGATGAATGGCATTCTGGGATAATTAAATACTCATCAGTGCAAAACTCCACCATCAAATATTGTGTCTTTTTTTTTTTATGTAAGCCCTTTACTTATGAGCCAAGTGAAATCACTAGAAATCTTTTGAAATGTGTTTTCTGTATGAATTGGATATCTATCATGGGAATAAATGCTAGGAATTTCGACCTCTTCTGGAGGGTCAGCTAGGCTCTGACTCAGACTCCCTTTCCAGATCTTCGTGTGCCTGAACAGTCCTGTGAAGATGTCACATGGTACATGTTGTGACACTCCATTCTTTCCCCTAGACTTTGTGAACTAACATTACCAACAGTATTGACTCGCAGCCACACAGCCTCTTCGGAGAATGGGTGAACCACAAAAGGCTTGTGGGCTATGTTTCTACCATTAGCACATTCTTAAGGTGGTAGATTTGCAGATCTGTTATTAGATCGTCTGTGATATGAAAGAATCTAAGGAGATGACAACTTTCTATTATTTTGAGTGGTAGAAAAAAAAAGCGAGAGCAAAAGAGAAAGAAAAATCTACTCAGTTCTGTTGTGAGCCAGAGACAAAAAAAAAAGAAAGAAAAAAAGAAAAAGTGGGCTTGCTTTGAAAAGAC